TTAATATTAAGTATAGCAGAGTTTATACAAATGGAAGCTGTAGAGCCTCAGTTTTCAAGCACTGACACTGCATCATATGATGGGAGGATGGCAGTCATAAGCTCCCGCAGTGTTCAATCCAGTTCAACTCTAATCGCGTCAGAGACGGAGGATTTTGGTTCAATCAATTCCATTCAAAGCAGTAAATCTCTAACTCTCCAAAGTTTGAGATCTGCCTATGGTGATGAGAACCCACAAGTTAGAAGGCGTCAACTGAGGTTTCAAGTACCACATAATCCCAGGATGGATCCTGTGGTAAGGGAAGAACTTTTGGACTTGATCCGGGCAAAAGAAGCCGGCGTTGCTTATATACTAGGGCACTCTTATGTGAAAGCGAGAAGATCATCGTCATTCCTGAAGAAATTTGTGATTGATATCGGTTACTCATTTCTTCGTAAGAATTGCAGGGGTCCGGCTGTGGCGCTTCATATTCCTCATATTAGCCTGATCGAAGTAGGTATGATATATCACGTGTAGGGAAGCTTTCCTCACGGCCTTTCTAGGCTCGTTTTCTCAGGTAATTTGTGGTAATGTTACAGCTCAAGACACCATGTCCGTTGCTATGCGCGAACAACTTGTGCTACATATTATATCTTGTTGCTCGGTGTCGAACGTGATGAACCTGGTTTATAAGTGTGGATTTGAACACAAGACTAATGTTTTGTTGTTGCATTTTACTATTTACTTTCGCATCGTGTTTGTTTTTCTATTAAAATATTCGTTTTGATTCTTTTTGACCAAAGTGTTTCATCTTGCGGCGTGTTTGGAAACGTTTATGAACGGTTTGAATTATAATATAAATTGTTTATATAGAGACACTTTTCAAACGAAGATTAAATTCTTGATGCTACTCATTTGTCAACCAATGTACCTTCATCGATAATTATTATAACCTGTTTGGCCCCCATTAATTTCTCATACATTACATTACATTTTTCTCTTCTATTTTCAACCACACAGTTTTTCATAAAATAATATTACACGTAAATTAAAAAAATTTCCTTCTTTTTTAATCACTAATTTTCAAAAAAAATACTATTTTACCCATTTTCAACTCTACGAAATGGAGGTCAAACTGGGGCTTAATGTACCGACTACTGTTGATAATGTTCTTAGTGTTGGTAAGGGGCAGTGTCTTCATCAGTGACCGCCAACGGAGAAGATGATGATGTCACGAAATGAAGTTTATTATTTAATTTTCAATGATTAGAAATTTAGATAAAATAGTTCGTCAAATTGAGACATCTTTTTATTCTTAGGCAATGTTTGATATAGATTAAATTTCATGATAAATGGAAATTATTTTCCCACTTCCACTTTTTATGGTGTTTGATAGACTTTATTTTCCATGGAAATTAAATTCTTAATTTTTTTGGGACTTGTTTTTTTCTAGCTTTTATGGGATATGGTGGGAATTGATTTTCCTGGTTAATGTTGAAATCTTTATTTATTTTTTTTTTGGGTAATGAAAACAAATTTTAAGAATTACTGTAAAAAAATACTTTCTTTTAATTGATAATTTTCATGTAAAACAAAGTCAAATGAACATCAAATGATAAATGATTTTCTTGATTTTTTTTTTTTGGCAATGAAAACAAATTTCATCTCTAATACCAATAAATTTCATTCCTTTAATTGATAATTTTCATATAAAACAAAGTCAAATAAACACAAAAAATATTTTTATTTCAACAATTTTCACGTGGTAAATTATACTAATCAAACACAATAATTTACAATTCTCAGGAAAATAATTTTCTGAAAATTCAATTCCCTAAAATTCGTTTTCTTTTCATCCAAATTACATCTTTGCAATCAAACGGACCCTTATAGTTTTGTTTATAATATTACGTTCACATAAGATATGTTTGTAATTATCATTTCAATCCTTACGGTATTTTTCATGGTGAGCATTCATTTTACAAATTTTTATTATTTTATTCATTTAAAATATTTTCATCAAACAAAAAATCCCTTTGTATTGAATTATTTTTCATTTATATTATATTACCGACAAAACTTTCTCAATGTCATATTACAATTTACAAACACAGAGTTTTTATTTTTTATAAATCTCTATTTTGTTTATTATTTTTAATAACTTTTTCTTTTCTTTTTCTTCTCCTTTTTTTTTCTTCTCCCTTTTCTTTATAATCATTTTAGTTGTTTAAATTAGAAAATATGGAGGCACAATTTTGTCCTTCTAAACAATGTTCAAATTTGGCCATGTATGAGCCCTATTAATTTATTGTGATGTATTATGAAATAGTAAATTGATGGAAAATATAAGAGTAAAAAAGAACGAATTTTTTTTATTTGCGTATAATATTGTTTTAACGAAAAATGTGTGGTTAAAAATTAGTACTATAAAAAAAATAATGAGAAAGAATGGAAAAAATATAGGGCTCAATCTACCCCTACTTTATTAGTAAACTATCAAGACATAATTCGTCTAAAGGTCCTTATTTTGCCTTTTTTTGTAAATGTTGGGGATTGCCGTGCAAAAAATGAAAGCTTTGTCACATATCTTCAATTTGCCGTTTTCTCTTTCAACTTTCTTAGTTTGGTTTCCAATCTTGTTCTTGCGATAGCTATGATGACAATTGTACCAGGGAAGATGGTGGTGGAAGCGATGGTTATAACAATGGAGTGCAGTAGGATTATACTTATTATTTTACACGACCTTAATCATCAAATGAATGAAAATGATGAATTTGTTAATTTTCGAATGTTGGGGACAAATTTTTCCAATAAAATTGGTTAGGGTTATATTTTTTAATGTTCTGAAAGATTGGGAAAAAGTGTGCAAAAATAAATTAATATTTAATGGTTTGTGGACAACATTATCCTTATTTGTACTTGTCAAATTACAATGGTGGTGGCACCCGACTTACCTTTCAATGGATCTCGTTAGAAAATTTAGATCGTATTAATTCCAAATGGAACGTATCAAAATGGACAGTTGCCGACCTAAAGCATACGTTGAGGATGTCTGTGCTAAGAAATAAACATTGGGGGAGCAAAAGATACAAAGGGAATAGATGAGGAACCATTTACATCAAATTCCTATACCTTTATCATAAATTGTGCCACGCTCGTCTGCACGTTTGACAAAGTTACAGCTGAGAGATACGTTTGCTGCACCGTGCATCCCAAGATTTGAGTACAAAAAATGTTCTTAAAATGTCAACAATTCGACGGTTTGCAGAAATTCATGGGCTTGATGCACCAATGGAAGGCAGCCACTCGAACACCATGGATTCTCTTGAAACTAGGGAGGATTTGAAATCGATTTTACCATATTTACCACTAATTCTCCGTTCGTCGGCACTATTATGGCCGCCGGCGGTGGTGGAAGCCCTGAAATCCCTAGCCAGAGGACCTATACATAGTAATGTTGACTCGGGTCAAGTTCTTGCTATCGCCATTTCCGACCTTCGTAATTCACTTAGCTTGCCAGATTCCGCCCTCCACCCCTCCGCACTTAACGGCTATGCGCTCTACTTTGATGACGTAAGCAGTTTTTTAATTGTTTCATTTTGGTTATTTTCGTTTATGATCATTGTCAAATTTTGGGTGGTTATGTAGTGAATTTTCGCATGATAAGATTTGTAGGTTATATTAAGCATAAAATATGTTTTTTTTTTTTTTTAAATATTTAAATTGCTGCTTGGCGATGCATTTGGTGAGGGAAGTGACTAAATTAAAAACAAAGTTTTGAATAGTGAATTTTTGGAGAATGTTTGATTAAAAAGTGGAGAAAATTTTGAGTCTATGCGTGTGGTTGAAAATGAGTAAGTAAATGAGTAAGGACATATTGGGGAAAATATACTGGTAGAGAGAGAACATCTTAATTCCGGATTGAGCCATAAGACCATTTCAAATAAAGAACGACTAGAGGAACAATACTCACTGCTATGCCGTAACTCAATGAATTTCGCCCATTCGAGTTCATTTAGGACCCAAAGACTGATTTTTAAAGTTTTGGCGCTATTTTTGTCAATTCGTTTATTTTGGATTTTTTTGCAATATTAGTTTGTTTAAA